GACGAAAAGGGCTCCAATGCCAATGTTTAAGGTGTAGGGATAATCGACATCGTGAATCTGCATACTGCTCAGAAGACGTAAGATTAGCATTTCTCGCATTTAAGAGACCAAATGAAAGAGAAAGGCGTGATGAAACATAGGCGATGGCCTTAAGCTTCTATATAATAAATCAAGCAGTTCTGTTGACAATCAGGCAAGTTTATTCATTTTTTACGCAGGAATTTTTTAATAAAAACACACATGTTTTTTAGCTAAAATGCTTTGTATCTCTAAGTAGAAAGGAACTAAGGGAAAAGAGACGGTTTATGTGGAATCCCTCTAGCTTTCTAAAAGTATACAGGTTGTCGAGTAAAAGTCGTGGCTTTCCAAAAATGAGTGGAGATATTTAGTTCTAACTTGCACCATCCCGCTCTTGCTTTCTATGAGTCGCCGAAGCAAGACTTTTTCAACCAGAAAAAGCTTTGTGCACCAACACCTTGCATACCATCGATAGCTAAGAGAATCTACGCAGATTGTCACTTTCTTCCTAGCTTTTCTGCAAAGCAAGATACGAGCAGTTTCATCTAGCTACAATATCTGTTTAATTATTCCATGCTCCATTTTTGAAACTAAGAAGGTTTTTTCGAAATTCTTTATATGATTCGAAAGCTTAAGAAACGAGTAATCTAACTGCTTTCGTATTTGTTATTATTCTCTCTAATGAAAGAAGATATGGCCGATTCTTATCAGTAAACATGCGTCCATCACTGGCTAGTCCAGATTTTCTACTCTTGCTCAACTCTTTTTTACGACAGTGTATTCATTGAAACAGTGTTGATTATTCAAAAAACAAAACATCATTTCAATTTTTGATTATGTTCTGTTATCAACGTCATTTTGAATGCGCAGGAGATCTCAAGCTTGCGTGTTTTCAACAAAACGCTGTTGCTTCGATATTCTCTTGCAGTCTTAATGTCTGAGGAGAAGAGCAACTGGCGTTCTCTTTCCAAATAAAAAGTGACTGAAACAGCGTTCGATTCTGCCGTTTGTCTTGAATCTAGTGAAAGGGGTGAAAGGGGTCAGTCAATGACGGTTCTATAGTAATTGAGCTGAGAGAAATTTCTCCACCTACCACATCTATGCCACAAAGACCGAGTACTGGAGTTGAGAACTTAATCGCCAGGCTATCGAGTTTGGAAGCGCCTTAATCGAAAAGACCTTTACCTTCAAGCATCTGAGAAGTCACATATCTGCAGGCGGTACGCTTTAGGATAAGATTACCAGTTGAAAAAACGCAGTTTGGATTAAAAGGAGAAGCCTCACAGGAATACTGTGTCAGTAACGGATGCCGCTCAAGCTGAAATCACTTGTCGAACTGTAGTCTGCCCAATTCCTCTTCATGGCAGCGGATGTAGGCATTCGAGAAACGAAGAAAAAATGGTCAGCTTATTGGAGATAGGTATGCTAAAACTGCAGATGCCACAATGATGGATTACGTCACTAACATACGAGCGGCGATGAAGGGTGCTTCGATAGTCAAGAAGGTGCAAGGGAAGCGGTTTGATGATGCGGATACGTAGGAATAAGAGCAGAAGACCACGTTACCAGGATGGCAATGTCAGTCGAATACCTGGAAAGAGACAAAGACGAGTACCACGGTCACGCTGGATGGGCAAATCAAGGCAGATTTGAGAGTACGTATGGAGAAGACTAACCAGAGCAGCAGACCCCGTGTTAGGGAACCTGGAAGGAAAAAATTCTTTAGTGCTGGTGCCCTCATCAATAAGAGGGCATCGGTTATGAATTTTCATGCGCATTCCACGATGATAAGATCCCGCTTTCAACCACAAGTAAAATGTCACCAAATTTTTCAGCACATCGTGGACTGTAGGCTATGACTGAGCGGAGACATCACTGCATTCGGCTCAATTAGCCAAAGGCGTGCAAACGGTACAACCACCTGCGGGATGCTGCGGCCAGAAATGGAAAAGTCACTAATCTTGGGCAAATGGTTATACTTCCACGCTCCTTTCCTTTCTGTTTCTCACGTGCAGCCCGGCGTAAGCCGATTTACTAAAGAGCTCTTCACTGTTGAAGCGCTTACTAAACGCCACGACATCGCGGTGAGAGTCTTTGAACAGAATTCACGAAGTTTATGGACGTGCTAACTAAAGCCACATTTACGGAGACACTCGTGTTTGATGTACACCGTGAATGGCAGAAATGCAATCTTCCGCACGCACACATCTTGTTCGTGTGGCTAAAAGGCAAGGTTTGCTTATTTCAGAGCGATGGCATCATCTCGGAGGAGCTACCCAATAAAAAGAGTATTCTTTTTTCTTCGATGTTATACTCGTACCATGATTCCCATGTGCTTCACTAAATCCCAAAGTTGTCTTTTGTAAAAAAAAACGCAGGTGTACCAAAAGGTATCTTCATGTATTAGAAAGTATAAATGCGCCAGACTAGCTCGTCGCTGCTTATGCACCTTTTCCACATATTTGCGTGTACTCAATCGATATTACCGAATTACTCCACTAACATTTGCCTTGAACATCTTTGAAAGTGAAGCAGGCAAGCACCCCAGCCGTTGTCTATCTCCACGTCCACGGACTAATGGTCTATTCTTATTTGTGGCAACGTTATATCCTCGTTCATCTGACTTTTGTCGCCTTCTGCAAAGGAATGACTTCTGCTATGTAAGTATGACTTGATTGGGATTAAAACAGACTGCACCAAACTTGTGAGGCACGAAATTTGCAGAATTTTAGGAAGAAACGTTAAGGTTTTACAAAAAAGTTTGAAACACTTCGAAAAAAGTTTTATTTACTACCATGAAACAATAATACTTTGTTTATCCTATCCTAGCATATTTTATTCTGTTAGCATATTTTCTTATGTAAAAACTTCAAGTATGTGAAGATCAGTGAAGCACCGTAGTTTTTTTTTTTGAGAAGAAGAGAGACTGAGAGAAATATTAATGAAAGGTCTGCGTTAAATTTTTTCAAATCTTTTATTGTCGCTTGCAATCGTAGAAACGTAGAATTCAACTCAAATAGCAGGTTTTTCACCAGTCACTTCTTTTTCTTATTCATATTGACGACAATAAGATCTAAGTGGCATTCCTAGTGGAATTCCTTTTGCCCGCATTGTTATTCGTCCTCGTGGCTCTCTCCGAAGTACTTTCGGCATTTCCTCTAGAGTTGTATCTCTTAGAGGCTCTCTTCTTCCTCATAGCATTATTCTCTGCCAAATAACTTTTATTGGGACTACTAGATCTCCACCTAGAAAAATTCTTGATTGCTGCTTCTTTCGTACTCCTCCTAGCATTCCAAGCGGCTCTATTCATCCCTACTGGATTTCTCCCGGGAGTATTCCTGAAATTTGAAAACTTTTTTTTAAGATGTTTTTTCCTCTTATTATTCCCTGCGAAATTGCTCCTGTTGTGACTACTGGAACTCCGACTAACGGGGACCCTCTTTGCTGCATTTCCCGGATTCCTCTTAGCATTAGTATAGGGGTTATACTTCCTCATGATATTTCCCCCGGAAGTATTCCTGATATCAATGTTGTTTCCCCTAGGGGCTGTATTCTTTCTCACGGCACTACTCCCTGCGAAGTATCTTCTATAAAAGTTACTGGAATTCCATGTAAGTGGATTCCCTGCTGCATTTTTCGAGTTCCTCCTAACATTAGTCGAGGGGGCATAATTCGTCCTGATGGCAGGTCTCCCGCGAGTATTCCTGGCATTCTTGTTATGTATCCTAGCAGGTGCATTCGTCCTCCTGGCATTTTTCGCTTCAAAATATTTCCTGTAATTGTTGGAACTCCAAGTAGCGGGTGTTGTCCTTGCTGCATTTCTCGAAATCCTCTTGAAATTAGTCCAGCGGGCATGATTCGTCCCTATGGCAGGCCTCCCGCGAGTATTCCTGACATTTCGGTTATATATCCTAGCAGGTGCATTCGTCCTCCTGGCATTCTTGTTATATGACGTAACAGGTGTATTCGTCCTCCTGGCATTTTTCCTTTCATAGTATCTTCTGTAATTATTGGAATTCCAAGTAAGCGGATTCCATGCTGCATTTCTCGAATTCCTCCAAAAATTAGTCCAACGGGCATGATTCGTCCCGATGGCAGGCCTCCCGCGAGTATTCCTGGCATTCTTGTTATAGATCCTAGCAGGTGCATTCGTCCTCCTGGCATTTTTGGCTTCAAAATATCTTCTGTAACTATTGGAACTCCAAGTAGCGGGAGTTGTCCTTGCTGCATTTTTCGAATTCCTCCTAAAAGTAGTCCAGGAAGCATTATTTTTCCCGACGGCAGATCTCCCGCGAGTACTCCTGGCACTCTTGTTATAGACCCTAGCAGGAGCATTCGTCCTCTTCAAAATATCTTCTGTAACTATTGGAACTCCAAGTAGCAAGAGTTGTCCTTGCTGCATTTTTCGAATTCCTCCTAGAAGTAGTCCGGGAAGCATTATTTTTCCCGACGGCAGATCTCCCGCGAGTACTCCTGGCACTCTTGTTATAGATCCTAGCAGGTGCATTCGTCCTCCTGGCATTTTTGGCTTCAAAATATCTTCTGTAACTATTGGAACTCCAAGTAGCGGGAGTTGTCCTTGCTGCATTTTTCGAATTCCTCCTAAAAGTAGTCCAAGGGGCATTATTTTTCCCGATGGCAGCTTTCCCGCGAGTATTCCTGGCATTCAGAGTGTTTTCCTGATAGGTGTATTCGTCTTTATCTTTATGGTTAATGCCGTTTGGGCTACTTTTACGAGGATCTCGAGAAATGTAGCAGGGAGAAATTTTGTTACTTTTCTCGGATTCCGCGTGAAAGTAGTCCAAACGGCATTCCGCCTCAAGTTATTCCTCGGGTACATCTTTGTATTCATCGAGCATTTATACAATGTGTTGATATCATCGAAGTCGGATTGGCTAAAGTATGCTCGCATGTAGTTGTTGAAATTTTCAAACCAGTAGTGCATGATTGAATCACTATCGTATTCACACATGTATTGCGCCTCAGTTCTCGAATAAGCGTCGTCGATCATTATACTCGCGTTCGGGATCTGGATCAGGAGTTCCTGCAGTAACGCGTGGATCGCGATCCTCTCTGCAAAAAATTTTTTCGAGTTTACAAGCTCAGAACAAGCGAAACTATTCTATATATACACCTTTGATGTTCGTGATAAAAACCGATGCTATGCATCAGTTCATGAATCATGGTTGGTCCGTCAAAGCAATCAGGATCCATATTCAATTCAGTAATGAACTTGCCCTCATTTGTCGGAGGGGAAGTATCGCGACCGATGAAGCTATAACACCTAAAGAAAAGGTAGAATATCTAGATTGGTTTACAAACTGATACTTACCACTTCTCGGGTATTGCAGAAATTAACAAGTAATACATATCACGTTCTGTTCGCTTCCGGAATTTTATGCATGTATCTTTTTGAAACGCATTCATCGCATATCGTACGATTCCTCGTCGATTATCATTCAAATATGGTACGAGTTCGTATGGAACAAGGTGTACGCCTTTCTGAACCGCTCCGTCCTAGCGCTAATTACTCTGCCCGCCCTAATTACTTCCCTTTCTTATAATCTAGCAAAGTTTTCAAATATTTCTGAGCACAAAGCAAGTGAGGGCACGAGCAATGATAGTGAGGATGTTTGAATTATGAAAACAAAAAGTTGGAAAGGTTGCATGTTTTTTCAGAAAATTTCGTGATTTCTTCGCTCTTCCCAGTTTTCAAAACACCATGAAGTCTGCACGTGTAAGCTGAAGAATTTATCTAAGCCGCCCGCGTAAAATCTTTTCGAATTTTATGGGGATCGAAATCTTGTTTGATTCTTTTTATCATGAGAATGCTTTTGCAGTCCAATTCAGCGTCTCTAACGACAGCATAGCTCTCGCCTACCCAAGCGGCGGCAGCACCGACCAATTAGAGGCGCGCAGTAATTAGGCTGCTAATGTTAGCGGTTCAGAAGGGCCGTCTCCCTATGGAACAACCGCTCCTGGCCAGATACTAAAGCAAAAGGTAAAATCAAGCTTACATTACAGCTTAGGGCATTACAGCAAATTTAAGCGAGGAAATAGCTTACCCTGGTTCATTAGAAAAAAGCGCAAGCCCTTTGAAATGTTTGCGTTCAACAGCGTCCGCGCTTCTTTTTTCACTTTCGTCGGTTTCTGCAAATGCTATTTGGTAATAAACTTTTGCGACAGGAAAATTTATTTGTAGGATTGTAACAGAGTAAATATGTGTGCAAATGTTATCTAAAGTGCTTTGAAAAAGAGAGTCGTTTTCTCAGAGAGTTGTACATAATTCTTTTCTTCCTCAAAATTCTTTATGCTTTTATTTAATGAATGTAAGTACCGAGTAGATTTCTCGGTAGGTATCGTGCGCTTGCAATGCGGCAGCATTTGTGCTTGCAATTGCCGCAGAGCAAGACGTTCCAGGTAAGTTCAGTGTTTTCTTTGCTCTTATTCTTCACTTTTTACGTATGCCTCAATCGACTAAAAGTGAAAGTAAGCTAGAGAGCAGTTTTTGTTGTTTTGACTAGTTATATCTTCGTTAGTTTAGGTATATGTTATGAGTGCTGTATTTCATGTTAGTGAGATGCAGCTTTTATAACACATGAAGTGTTCGTCACTAGTCCTCTCTGTCAACTCTTCTTTTCAAAAGAGAAAAAAAAACGTTTCTTTGCCACGCTAGTAATCTTCTTCAAACTCAAAGCACTCATTAATAGCGGATCTTACATCCTATTCACCTGAAAGTAACATCGTCTTACATCAATGTTTCTTGATAAGAGAACGTCAAAGCTTGTAAAAACTTGCTAGAATTGTAAAGAAACGTTCTTTGATGAAAAAAAGGTGAAGGATAGGTTTAGTCACACACAGTTAATGTGAGGCTGCTATTAGGGTAGGTTTGAACTCAAACGGCGAACAATATACTAGTTAACTTTGATAAAGTAATCAACAATACATATACCCTAAAATCTCACAGATAAGTCCTTCCATCAGATAAGTTCAAATAAGTCCGCTTTTTTGACTCGAATATGCTTTTTCAGATAAGTCCGCTTTTTTCCATTATAACTACCCTGAAATCTGTCAGGTAAGTCCGGACTTATTTGATGGGAGGACTTATCTGCAAGACTTTTGGCGGCGCGAGAGCGAATTTTCGTCGATTTTTCATGTCAAAGAGGCGGAGTTATCTGTAAAACTTTAGGATATTGATGAATTTCAAAGAATGGTTATACTAAATGCAAATCATGCCAATTAGTTACTTATGATTTTTTTCAAGACACCTAATTAATTACAACGATATTCTCAAAAACTTGATACAAAACAAATTTTGAACATTCTCAATAAACAATTTAATTACAATGAGTACAGGTACAAAGAGTATGTTGATGATTACCATAAACATATAGCTACAGGAAATCTAATTCTAAAAAAAGACAATAAGAACCATTACATCTAAAGAAACAAAATGTTGGTTACAAAACAAAAATAACACGAAGGATTTCAAAGAAAGTTTTTTTATTTTTCACAATTTTCGTTTTTATGTCTAAATATAATGCGCATCCTATATTTTGTTATTTTGAGGTTGTAATAAAGATGATTATTTTTTGTATGCAAAGTGGGTTATTTACCATTGATATGTCACCATCCATTGATATCCATTGATGTTGTGTTAAATCCATATGGATATACCGTATTCAATAATTTATATCAAAATCCTATAATTATTTATCCTAGATATTAGATTGTCTCATAAGTTTTTTCAATTTTGACTCTGAAGCAATAATCACATACTTTTCAGTTCTGATTAGAATGAGGGTACCGTTTGATAGAGCAAAGTAAGCCCTATAGGATGGCGTGTAAGCTTTTGCACCAGTTACAGCACATCACGATTTAGAAGCCAAGACCTGAGAACTTCTGAATACCCAAAAATTAATCATTTTCTGTAATTTTGCCCGAAGAAAACTTACCAAACTCGCTCACGCATATACACTCCACAGAACACTTTCATATGTGCCCTTGCTGTGTTTTTTCTGTGCTAGAAACCGAAAAAAACCAAAATTTACAAGCTTTCAAAAAAGCGATGCTGCGCTAGTATACTGCAAGCCTATAGAAGTATAATCACAAATTTTTAGCTTTCTATAAGCTTTAGTTTCCAAAATATATCAATTTCAACATGTAATACCTATGCAAAAAAGCTAGATTCGGCATTTCTTAAGAACAAGCGCCGGAAAGCTGAAAATTTACTAATATAATATTGAAGGCCTGTAGTATGCATTTATATGTGTAAAAACAGCGCAGCATCGCTTTTTTGGAAACACGAAAATGTTTTCTCGGTTTCTGACACAAACAAACACAGCAACGACACATATGAGTATGTTGTTTGGAGTAGACACACGTTGGACCTGGTAAGTTTTCCTCGGGCAAAGAAGGTTTTCAAATTTTTGGGCATCCAAAACTTCTCAGGTCTCGGCTTCTAAATCGCGATGTGCTGAAGCTGGTGCAAAGACTTTCACGCATCTTATGGAGTTTGCTTTGCTCTATCGAACGGTACCCTGCATTACAATCAGATTTGTGAAGTGTGCGAGTTATTGCCTTAGAAAATCAAAATTGAAAAAAAAACTTATGAGACAACCTAGTATATTTTTGTCTTTATCGCATTGCCTAGAACGCCTACTTAGACACTTCTCTTTATGCAGATATTAAGTGAATCCGTAAGTTTGTAGCGTTTTTAGACCTGTTCCAGAATCGTTCAAAATGAAGATAGACATATCGTTCAAATAGTATTCGATGCAGACTTTCTTCCTTCTTCCAGCAGCGACGTTTACTTTGTGACTGTTTCGACGAGCGCTGAGATGATTGCCGAAAACTAAAAGCCTCCATTTTACCATGTCTAAATTTCGCTAATTTTCTGAATTTTCTTTTTAAGTTTTTGAAGGTGCTTCAATAACCACCTGATAAGGCAAACCTTTTGCAAATCTATGTAATTGTCGCATCTCTATAGCATGCTTTCTAGAATTACTAGAATATATTCTTGAAGTGAGCCAATTTTGTACTTGGCTCATTGCCACCTCGCAAAACATCAAACGTTAAACAGTTTAGGTACCATTTAATGCATCTTTTTTCCTTTTTTTGATAGCTACCTTTTCTCTGCAAAAGGGTGCGCAAGGTTGTAGTCGAAATTCCAAAATCTATCCAATTTTCCGCCGTTATTGCTCATTTACTTCGTTGTACCAGTGACAGAAATTGCCAAATTTTAAAACTTTAGTATTTTGAGGATCTCGCAGTGTTTGGTGCAATTATGTGTCACGCGATTTCTTTCAAAATCCAATACTTTGATAAAATAATTCAACAAAGTTGTAAAGAAAACTGAAAAATGCAAAAAATTGCATTAATCTACAAGAGTTTGCTGCCTTATCAGGTGGTTATCGAAGCATCTTCACAAGTCTCAAATGAAAATCCTGAAAATTAGCAGAAGTTAGACAAGGCAAAAATGGAGGGCTCTACTTCTCGGCAATTATTTCAGCGCTTGATTAAACAGTAACAACGTAAACATAGCTGCTGGAAAGAGGAAGAAATTCTGCACAGGAAACTGTTCAAACAATTTGTCTATCGCCATTCTGAACGAATTTAAAATAGGTTCTAAATAACGACACGAACTTTAAGACCCCATCTAATAATTTGAAAATGGTCATAAAAATAATCATGGACATCGTTTTTGTTTGCATGGTAGATTTGTTCTTTAATTCTTGTTTTTATAATCTTTCATTTTTACGTTGTCTATTACATTCATTATATGTGACGCTATAAATTAGATTTTTACTAGTACAAGAAAAGCTATCTACAGTGCGTGTAAGTTTTAATTCTGCCGAAGTGCTTGTTATATAAGGTTAATGTCCTACTTAGGTACAATACATAAACGCACTTTTGTACGTATAAGCTTTTAGGTTAGCTCGGAATTTCTCGGACATTTTTAGACGAGATCTGATTTCTCGAAACATAATGCAACTACATCCGACAAAGGTACCATTCGATAGAGCAAAGCAAGCTATACAAGATGTTATGCAAAAGTTCGCACCAGCTTTGACCCAGCAGAGGTTTGCATCCAGAATCTGAGTCGTACTAAAGCCTTGGAAAATTGGGAAAAATTCATATCTTTGTTAATATAAATCCTTCGGGCCTTTAAGTTGTTCAAGCAACTGCACGCTACATTAGACACCCATATGTATTATCGCTCTATTTTTCCTCATCTAGAATTGAGAAAACAAGAGTTCTTATGTTGGTGCAAAAACGAAGCTGTGCTGTCTCCACCCATGTAATTGTTTACTACAAGCCCTTAAAAGTATAACGGTAAATTTTCAGCTTTGTACAGGCTACAGTTTCCGAAAACTAGCAAATTGAGCTCTCATTACCCGAGTGTTGAAAAAATCGTAGAATCAATATTTTTTGGAAACTAAGGCTTGCGAAAAGCTATACTTTGAAGGGCTAGTAGTACTAACTTACTTGGGTGAAAACGGCACAACTTCGTTTTTGGATGAGCGCGAAATTTTGAGTTTTCTCGATTTCTAGATGAAAAAAAATACAGGAAAAGTACATATGAGTGTCTGATGTGGTGTGCAAATTGCATGAGCAGTTTGGAGATCCGTAGAGCTTTTTGAACAAAAATATGATTTTTTCCCGATTTTTCGAGCGTTCAGTACGACTCAGATTCTAAGTGCAAGCTTACGGAGTTAAAGGTGATGCGACATACCGTCTTGTAGGGCTTGCTTTGCTCTATCGAATGGTACCTCTGTTGGATGTAAGTGCATCAGGTTTCGAGAAGCAGATCTTGTCTAAAAATGTCCGAGAACATCGAGCCAACCTGATAGTACGATCCGAAAGTTCGTGCCGTTTTTTGGACCCATGCTCAAACCACTCATAGTAAAGACAGAGAAAAGTTGTAAGCACTGATGCAACATTTTAATCTCTTTTCAATGGTTGTGTTCTTGTTCAAAGTCCCTTGCTGTCAGCTCAACAATCGGCAAGGATCTCCAACAAATGATTTTTACCCAATTGGAGTTTGAATTTTTCGAAATTTCCATTTTTAACTT